CAATCTGACAAACTTTAAGTAGAATTTGTGATTAAAAGCCACGCACTCTGTATGTCCAGCTTTAAAAATAGATTTGGTTGTAGCCAGCTAATTTCCACTGAGCTCAGCAGGCAACATATGGTACAAATGGCCGTCCATTTTAAATGAAAGAAACTGTCAGTGGGCATGTTTGACAGCCTTACAGTATCTTTTAAAGTGAATTTCTGCCTGATTACCTGAATTCTTACTGTACTGCCTTTCACTGCTAGGTTGTGCTTGCTCCATGGTTACTGCTAGAGTCTTAAGGCCTCAGTTCATGTGTTGAATCTAGCCTATGTCTGCTTTGCAGGATATATCTTCACTGCAGCTGTTCATAAATACAGAAATATCCTGAACATAAGACGCTATGTGCAAGCTATATGATATATGTACATCCACTATATAAACAATCTATCTTATCTATCAATATATATATATATATATATATATATATATATATATACACATAAGTAAATAAGTAAATGATGGCAGAATGTTTGGGCCAATAATACATGAGCCTATTACTGGACAGACATGCTTTTAAAAATAGTTTGGTGTAAGACCTGCTGAGGATCAGAATTAATTGCAGTAGTGCTTAAGGCCTGAAATTAATGTCATTTCATTTTTTGTAGTCTTAGAAGCGGTCTCTGTTTAAGAAGCACCTGCATCACTCATCATTATTATTATTATCATTATTATTTTCAGCTTATCTCACTAGGCATCCTAGTCTATCACTGTTTGTCAGGGAAGATCAACTGATGGCTAAAAATATATATAACTGCTAAAGAGAAAACACACTAATACAGCTCTCCTTAATGTCATCTATCAGGCAGCACCTTTGTAAAGAAAGTAGCTGCATAATTTAATCTGTGACAGGTCTGTAGAATGGGCAATCCTTTATAACAAAGTATAACTAACAATAAGGCCTAAAAGATTAAAGCAACATACATAAAATTTTTCACATATGACAAACCAAAATGGTCTTAAAACACACCTTTTTTGGCAACATCATTTTAAATTATTATTGCAGGTTATATGGATTTTTCCCAAATGGATAACATTTCTGGCTCAACTGAGGTGGAAACTTGCTTTGGTATGTCACATTTTTTGAGAACCATTATGGAAATGTATGACTACACCATAAATTAAACACACATAAAACAGGTTAATTGTAGAATTAATACTTTCAGCATTTCACTCTTATAACATTACGTAGGCTATGGTCACAATGCTTCAACCAAGACCTACTGCTTGTACCAAATACTATTTGTACATTCAGATGTACAGACTAGAGTCATGTGAAAATTATTTTTTTAATTTGTTTATTCTCTCAGTACATCCAGCTCAAAGACATATTCCCGAATCAGGGATGCACAGATATGGGAATTGTGCATCATGCAGACAACGGATATTTTCCATGTACATAATCTGCTGCTGCAATTGCTGCTACATAAACATTTATAAAATCTAGAAATCAGGACTAAATCCACCCGGATTAGCATTGCAGTAAAATTAGAATAGCATTTCTGTACGGTTACAAATGCAGTGAAATGGATAAAATGGACACATTTTGCACGGTAGCCCTGAATTGCTCAATAAATCATCAGATATATTTTTAAAATATCAGTCAAATCTAAACATCTGTCCAGTGGTGATATTTTCTAAGCATCATACGCTGAAGCCAATATAATACCAATATCATCAAGCTTCTCTTTCCCAAAGTCTGTTTGTCAAAAGATCTTAATAGGGGAACAAAATTTATGCATGGTTAAATGCTTAACATCATTAAAGACATTCAGAGTGGTTTAGTGTAAAATGCTTTGTTCTAGCGAAACTTACAGAGTCAGAATTGTTCACTGTGGTGGTGATGGGAACCAGACGTCCAGCTCCCTCACAGAACGTTATAACATGAAACAGCTATGAATACACTGCCTGTCTGATATATTGATTTTACTATAGTTTTGTGACAAAATTTTGGTCTAAACTGTTTTTTTTATCAATGTATTTCATTCCATTAATGATTGGGGCTTACATGAAGGGTGTTCTAAGGCAAAATAGTCCCTAAAGCAAATTTATTTTTTCACACTGACCACTATTTTACCAACATCAACATTACACATAAAAACTCAGAAGACACCAGTAGGTTCACTGGTGCTTTTGGATAGTAAATAAGATGGCTATATTTCCACTGTAGACATTGGGACCTCTGGTTCCTATCACGACCACTGTAAAGAAATTCTGTGTTGGTAAGTTTCTCTACAAATAAATTATTTCACATCAAATCACTCTCAATGACTTTGTTTCACCACTGAATTATGGAGACCTTTTAGAAAATCGGTGGAATTCCCCTTTAATGTGTGTAAATGCTCACATTTGAATGTGTTGTTGAGTTGCTGCTTTATAAAACGTTCACACGTGATCCATGACAGCTCGTCCTAAAACAAATATTTCCCTCAGAAAAAAAGAGAAGACCTGGCCCACCGTGTCCTCTTGTCCGTTGAGCTGAAACGGTGACAAAAAGCCCATTCCGGTTGTTGGTCGTGGATAAGAGATGGAAACGGAGTGTCAGTCAGAGACGCTTCGTTGCTCAAGGACAATCCTCTTTGTGGGATGGTGTGCTTCAAAAGAAATCACTCTCTCTGCATCAATTATCACTACGCCACGCCATAGGGAAGCTAACGCTGGCACACGGTCAGAAGGGAGAGTGTGTGTGTGTGAGGTGTATTCTCCTTAGATATCCATTATTAGGCCTGCTAGTGAACAGTGAAAATGCACTGTGCAGTCTGGCTGCGTCCAAAACCGCAAACACACTGAACTGCATGTCAGACTAGCTCAGCAGTGTTAGTAACACGTTCATTAGCAAAGTGTGCACAGTGTAGTGTAATATGTGGTTTTGGACGCGGCTATTATATGTGAAAAACAACAAATGACATTCCTCCTTTTCTCCATTCTTTTAATCGCCCCTTAGACACATTGTCAACATATGAAAGGTTAGTTTTTAACAGATCGTTTCTGGGACTGTAAAATAAAGATGGCTTTCCATTTCCAAACGGTCCAGAATCAACACATCCAAGAACTTTCAATCATAAATATTTGTACATTTAAGACACAAAATTATTTTGTATTAAATTTGACTAATTATAAGATTTAGCAAGTTTCATATTTTAGTTTTAGCCCAAACGTTTTAAAAACAGAAGTTAAAAACATTTGCAGACGGAGTGCTAATCGCTAGCGTTTTAGGTTAATTCAGTTCTTAAACTGCAGAGTCAAACATTCATCACGGCTAACCCTCAAAACAGTTTAGCAAACTCAGCGGACTACAAACTAGACTACAGCTCTGTCTGAAGTGTACAACATATTAACAGAGAGGTAGTGACAGTCTTGGCCGTATATTTTCCGAACAGACCTTCCTGGTCGCTCCAGCTCTGCCATATTCCTCCCTTTTTCCCTAAAACGTTAAAAATCGTGGTGATCCGCCTGGTGGTTTCGCAGTTGGCGCAGCCGCCGTCTTCCTTTTCAGAGCTGGTGAGACTGTATTAATCGAGAATCCCACCTTCAGTCGCTTCTTTAAAAGAAAAGCGTATAGCGTGTTTTCTCTACTTTGCCGTCGTGTCCTCGCTTCGTGCTTGACACGAATGACTCCGGGGCCATGAGGGTCCGCCTTTCAGAGCGCCTTGAAACGGTCCCCTCTTATCTTCTTTCATCGTCTAACCCCGGGACGCCTTGAAACCGCAGGGCCAGTTATTGCTTTTTTTTTTCTTTCAGACAGCCCAATGCGGACTGGCTAGTAGCCAATCAGAGTCTTGTTTACACTCTGTGAGTGACAATGCTCTGGCGACGTGCCAGCCAATCAAACCCTGCTCTGAATGGAGCACAATTTTAAAACCTGTCCTGTTCGTCCAGCTGAACCTCAGGCTGTCTGTCTGCTAACGTCCTCACAAATAGGACAGTGAAGACGGGCAGACTGCAGAAAAAAACTATAGAAGTAGAATTATTAGTGAAAATAAAGCCTAGCTGGAGTTAATTCAGATAACATATGCCTCGTTTTTTTAATCTCTGTGGCGTTCTTTCACACACACATTTGTTTGTTATTCATCATGTACTCTGTCGTTTCTCCCTCACTTTGCTTGTTGTTTACATGCACAGCACTAAGTGTGAATGCTCGCGTTTGATGTTGACTTGTGCACTTCTTGTTATTTTTTGCATGGTAAATATGAGTAATCTGTGTAACTGTGTGTTTATTGTGTGTCTATTTATAATGCAGCTGTAGCACCCAAATTTGCCTTCAGAAATAAATTCAATTAAGATCTGAATTTGTTTATCCACAGATCAATCAATATATCTAACTACTTATCTATATATCAAATAATCAATAGAGACGTAGAACAAGCAAGCAGTTGCAGGAATACCCCCTACCCCTACAGGCTACACACACCTCATGCATAATAATGTCACCTAAACCTTTAGAGCTTAATTTTTGCATTATTACTGATTACTAATTTACACATAAAGTGTGCTACAGTGGCTATTGGTAACAATGGCTTCTTGTTCAGCCAGCCACCATTGGGCTATATATTTATATAAAAGGCTAACAGAATAAGCCCAGGATCTACCTCTTATTTACAGAAACATTATACTGCCCTATGTGTGAAGAATAAATATTAGAATAGAATAAGATTATCAGAATATTAGAATAGAATAAATTTAAATTAATCTAAATTTAAACTACAGATTATCAAAGAAACTGGGATTGAAAGATTCCCTTAGAGATTGGCAATATGACTAAAACGTAGTATTGCGATACGTCAAAAAAATGTGACGAAATATGTGACGATATTTATTTTTTCAGATATCTGATCAGCTGGAACCGAGGTCATGCTGCCCAGCACTAGACTCCCTCCATACTGAGGGAGACTGATGTCTCTGAGACTGGCTGTCTTTGGCCAAACCTGCATTCAGGTTTCTGAGGAGTTACTGAGAACAATCCTTCATTAGTCCTAATAATGAAAATGCACTTGCTATGGAGGCACTGCTTCTGAGCAATAACAAATGTCATGACTATTTCCTCCATTCCTTTAATCGCCGTTCCCTTTAAACACATTTTCAGCATTACTCAGTGTTTCAGGTAAGAGACTGTAAAAAAAGAAGTCTTTTCCATTTCCAAAGCGAGATGACGCCCAAAATGTCTCGTTGCATATCATTTTCTCCTGAGTTATTGTAGATTTATGACACACAAATTCAACGTAGTTTGTGGAATGTCGGTTGCTGTTTGATAAATGTTTGGGCAGAGAAGGCCTTTCATCCGGATCTCTGAGTGCTGCAGGTTTATCTTGATTTTCCCGCTGTGTGGAGCGTCTTTCTCTCCGCTCAGTCTCCATTGGCCGGCGACGTGGACCAATCGGAGCCTCGAGTGTGGCTTAGCGAGTTGCACGAGCTCATTACCATGAGCGGATCTGACCAATGGGAGGCTGTGTTTACTCTCCCTGGGTTGCGAGGCACTAGCTGCGCTGGGAAAGAGGATCACGGCTCGGAGACTCGAGCCTCGACTGAGCGGCCTGAACCGGCGCTTTAGCTCACACAGCCACAAGTGCAGCACTCACAGGAGCAGCTCTCTGGGATCTAACCTCTCCAGCAGCTCCGCGCTCAAAATGTGCGGCATTCTTCACCTGCATTCACTCTTTCCCTTCTAATCATATTTATTTATTGTTATGCAAGGATTTTACATACCAGTAAGTAATGATTTTAATTGCTCTTTTGCACATATATTTATATTCTGAGCTCGGGATATAAATGCAGATATCTGTATTTAAATTAAATTTTTCAAAGACATGGGCTCTGTGGTCTGACACATAAAAACAATGAGATTTACCGAGCGTAAAAATACGAATATTCGGGCATGCAAGGAAATTTAAAATATGCTAATACGAAAAGGTTTAATATGCATGTAACATATAAAACAGCGCAAAACTGAAATTAAACATTACCAGTGTTTTTCAAAAGGATGGTCGTGTTTAATAAATTCCTCATGAAATGTATATATTGTTAAAAATAAATTCGGTTAATTTCTTAAATAACTCATTATAACAAAAAATGCAGCATTTTCAGCAATTCTGTTCAAGCGTAATGTAAAAAAATGCGTTCGGCTGAAAAACAGTATAATGACAGTACCGAAGGGAACTGCGGCCTGCAGGCTTTGTAAAGGAATAAAACATTTCCAGAGTAAAAATAAATAAAGATTAACGTGTTAGCCGTCCGTTAACATTTTTTGCATTCGGCGTTTAGAAATATTCACATAAAACTGAACACAATAAGGCCCACAGACGTAGCGCTTATTTTTCTCTAATGTATTTTTTCTTTAATCTTCGTCTCCGTGTTTTGTTCAGTTTTGTGTTTTTTATTTCGGGTTATTTCGGCTCAGTTTTCCCGTCGGAGACGCTGTGCTGCTCAGCGCTGCGCTGTCGGCGGTGTGTCCGGGCTCAGCGCGCTCTCAGCCGGACAACACCGGCGCCATCCCGCCTGGAGCAGCAGCGCCTGATTTCTTCCGTCCCGGTGAACTCTGACCAGCGAAACACGTCCAGGGACGCGGCGTTTGGTCAGTGTAACGAGGGAAAAAAAAAGAAAAGAGAAAAATAAACAATATGGTGCATTTTACGCGAGGCATTGTTAGACGAGACAGAACAATTTCTTTGTTTCTTTCTCCGCTAAAACACACAGGCGGCTTCAGCTGGCTTACAAAAACGACGCGGAGTAGCCCGGATGTAGCCGGAACACTTGTACTGAAAATGCGTCAGTTCGCTCCGCTTTAGGCAGAAAATGCACGGCGTGTTTGGAGGGTTTGTGCTCGGCAGTGGACGGTAATGGCTGACGGGGAGAGTGAGTGAGTGTGTGAGTGAGTGTGTGAGTGTGAGTGTGTGTGTGTGCAGCCAGACAAAGGCAGGCAAGCAGGCAGCTCTCTAAGACCACTAAATCTGAACTGTTTCCCCCTAAAAATGAATTCAGGACACAATTTGCTCGTAATTTTAAACATTACATTTTAAACGGTGATGTTTTATTTCTCTGAAAGCTGCGAGTGACAGTGAAGTGGGTAAAATATTCCATTCCATCTCGTCTTGACTGGCATCTTGTGTTCTCAGCAGTGTGGCTGCTTAAAGGTGGAGATAGACGCTGTGAGGAGCAGCCTGGTGAGCTCAGTCTGCACGACTAGAGAAACAGCAAATAGCTTTATGTACCAGGAGCTCCGCGTTTAACTGTAGGTTTTATCTGTTGTGTGTCCTGGTCAATTTAATTACCCCAAATAAAGGCCAGAGCAGGTCGTGGCAGATGAAAGGGAGCAGAATCGCAGTTGTTTACACACACACACACACACACACACACACACACTTTGTAGGAAGCCTAGCTATCTGCAGCGAAGGCCTTATTGTGAACGGTGGCGTGCTGGTGATTAAGGGTCGTTTTGCTCCTCATCTCGCCATTGATCACACTGCTTTGGTAAATCCATTCCAAATGAGCTGATAGCCTTTTTAATTTGAGGCCAATTAGGGGCCAATTCATCAAAGTTTATGCTCAAGCCTCTTGGACGCGACGCCTCCACTGGATTCATCAGCAAATCAGACTCGTTTTTTAGTGAAATATTCGGGCACATCTTGTTTATTTGTGAATTTTCCAGCGTTTGCACCAGTCCAACCCGCCCAGTCAGCCTCTAAGGTTTGACCCCATGCAAATGGCCCAAATGTTCTGTATGGATTCTTCCAACACACGTGCAGAAATAGCGCTGGACCGCCGGACTGTGTTATTACAGTGAAAAAGGGGGAGTGCAGCGAGGGTCAGTGTTGTTTCGGGTGCTGTCCAACAAAAGGCGATTCAAATGCTGAGTTCATAATGTGGGATGCGTTGAAAGCGCCTTTGCATATTCTGTGTGATGTGTTTGGATGCTCATCTTTCAACCCTGCTCCATCTCTTTTTCTGTCCTTTCTCTTACAAATCCCTGTCTTGTCAGCGGGCCGCTCGCGCTGCAGTTGCAGTCCTGTGTTATTAGCACATCACGGCTTTTACATCTAATGGACCAGATCACTGTTGCAGGCCATGATCGTTAAACATGTTTAAGAAGACAGTGGATCTGTGAATGTTGCCGCACGCAAATTAAATGTGTTGTCCTTTTCTTTTCATTTTTCCAGAAAAGATGATTGGGGGCGACACCGTAAACCGGAGAGGCGAGACTTTCTCTAAAAGCGACACCGCGAGCGACCGACAAGGATTATAATCTATGGGTTTGTGTTGATCAGCTCCGCGCAGCCGCTGGATCTCGGATTGATTGTGCTCGAGCAGTATGGAGGGGAGGGAGTTCGCTGCTCCGGCTCACCTCCTGTCAGAGCGGGGCGCTCTGGTGCACCGCGCCGCCTCGCGGATCTCCTCCACCGGCCACGGCTCCGTGCAGCACGCCGGCCCTTTCCCACCCGGAAAATATTACCCATCCCACCTCCCGATGGCAGCGCACTCAGGTTTGTCTCACTCCGCTCTGTACGCTGTGGCGCCGCTGACTGACAGCCAGCCGGTGGCATTAATGCTGATTTACTGTTCCAGTGTTTCTTTAACTGTCCTTCTGCTGAGTGAACATCCTCCACACTGAGTTCAGGAGAGTGATGATGATGATGAGGCACTATAGCTGAGGAGGTGAATTTACATTTTGTGAAGCGTTTGCTGTAAACGTGGAGTGATCTTGACGAAGCTTTGTGCCGTTTAATTCATATATATATATATATATATATATATATATATATATATATATATATATATATATTAATTCAATAATAGTTTAATAATATTAGTATAATAAATAATGTAATTAATAATGCTGTATGTCCATTTGTAGAAGGCGTATAGTGACGTATAACACATTTTTATTCTTTAATAAAGGTGGTATTAATCATAATACAGCATTCATATTTCATATTTCATATTTATATGTGTAAAGGCCACACAAAACAGCTTATATCATAAAAAAACAAAGAAAAAAAAATGAACGTGGCGTTTAAGGCGTTTTGGAATGACACTATTTGGGAAAAATTTTATATATATATATATATATATATATATATATATATATATATAAATTATCAATAATTCGACTAGCATGTTTTATTTTTTTTAATTTATGAAATATTATTAATGTCTTGTCTTTTTCTTCTGCAAGTTGTTTCTATCTCGGTTTAGAGCAGAATGTGTTAGTAAAGCTGTAATAAAGACGTCGTGTGTTGGTGATGAAGCCTGTAATAGCTGAAAATCCCTTTCTGTGTACTGAGCGAGTATCGATGAGCAGAGCGGGGGCAGACACAGCAGTGTCATTCACATCCACTGTTAATGCAGGCCTTCAGCTCGCTGTCCTGCTCATGTGCTGCTGGACGGGGTCTGGCGGAGAGATGGGCTTACCCTCACTGATGAGACGTTTTTTTGTTCTAAAATGCGATTTGATCAGGTTAGACTTCTGCACTCTCTAAATCAACATTGCTGTATTCCATGCTGAAAGGATGGCTTTTGATTTATGCTTCAAGTTGATTCCTGAGCGAGGATTCATTTCATTATTTTATCATTTGATAGTGTCATATTCCTATTCACATTTTGAGCATTAGCATTGGCAGGAACTGAAGAGAACCACTCACCAGCCTACCTTGGTTTTGGGAAGGAGAAGTAGTTTTAACTAAGCATCGTTTCAAAGTGTTTTATATGGCAGTCAATAAAATTAACTTATTTTATACTTAATTTAGAAACATGCTTTAGTTTACATTGGTATATATCATCATCTCTTATATACAGTAACCTTAAAAATATTTGGACATTTGTGCCATATTTAAAAAATGTGTTAAGGAAGCAAAATGCCCAGTTCAAGTTAGATTTATTTTAAACAGACCATTGCAGCACTGAAATGTTCTTTTCATTTGTATTCTTTTTAAAGGCGGCTGTTTCAGATCAGTTATTTTCCTATGCAGACTTCTGCAGGTTTGCATCAGGAATGCCTTTGTACACTTCAGAGTTCATGATCCAGTCAATGAACACACGCTCACTGACAGCACTATGAGAAAAACAGCCCCAGACTTTGATGCTACCACCTCTGTGCTTTACAGTGCTTTTATTGCAATCTAGTTGGTGAGTCTGCCATCAGTTTGATGCTGTGCTAAAAGTGTTTCTCTGAAATAAATATGATTTTGTTATTCATTGCATGAAGTAATCTAAAGAGCTTCATTAAAGTGCACAAATGGTTAAAGTGAAGTGTCCAAATACTTTTTGGGGCCACTATATAAGGGCTGTTGCAGTAGAAATACAATGCAATGTCACATATTATATATATATATATATATATATATATATATATATATATATATATATATATATATATATTTCTCATTTATGTATGTCAGGATAAATAGATACATCATTATGCACTAATCAGGTCAATTTAAGCTTATCAGCATTTTTTGTTGTTTAACTTCTGGATCTGTTTTAAAAAGGAGCATCTTTGCCGCACTATAGGCATCAAATCCATTGAAAATGATCCATAGTAATGCACATACGCACACACATAACAAGCAGAGCTATTTATAGATGTAGATGAATCTCTTTGTTCTTGCAGATGTTTGGAGAGAGATTATTTAGGCTAATGCTAGCTAAAGGGTACAGGTGTGCTGCTAACCGGATGTGTCGTGTGGTTTGTTGTTCATGGCCTGCACCACCATGCAAACCTCCCCTCAGATGTCATCACTGTTCAATGAGAGAAACAGGTGGGGTATTGTTCTTCAGGATAAAAAATAGCCAATCCCTTTAATGCTTTCTGACTTTGGCTGGAGCAGTGCTGTCTCAATTATGTCCCCTTGATTCATGTGGTGGCTTTCAACCTTCATGTTATTACAACCTCACTGCCTTACTGCCTCGCAAAAGATATATATTGTTCGTTTCTTATTCTTTTGAATAGCATTTGAAAACACCAGCTGCCCTTTATATTGTGTGAAAATACAGTACAGTACATACAGTGTGCATGTACAGTAACACAGTGACAATAATGTAACATGTAACACTGTGTAACACTGTGTATCTCTGTATTATGTGATTCAAGCACAACAGCTGCCCTTTACATTGCAAGATCATTTTATGATCAGTGGGCCAAAAGAAATGGTGTATAATAACCTGGATTAAAAGCTTATTACATTAATTACTATATATATACATATACATATATATATATATATATACACACATATATATATATATATATATATATATATATATATATATATATACATACATATATATATATAAATTTACTTTACAGGAAAAGGAAAAACATTCATAACTTGTTATGGGAATTAATGAATTTGTGGGTTTTTTTTTTGATAATTTTGGACCATACTATTGATCCATTCATTGTGAAATGAAAAAGGCAACTGGAGCTTTCACATTATGTAGAAAAAAAAGCAAAATAAAAAAAGAGGATTATATGATTTTGCACAGGAGCAATAATATATTTCACTTTTTTTCATATGTGTTACATTATTGTTATCCTATTATTACATTATTATTACTATATAAATAATGTGAGGCGCACCAAATAACAGTTTTTCTCCAGAAGTGTTTAGGCAGAACATTAGTGTTCCTCTGAATATCCCACTGAGTTTGGTCACTTTGGCAAACGGTGATGCTGGCTGTAGTGTGCTTAAGTGGGGGGGGGGGCGTTTTGAAACTAGTTTCCTGAGCTCTTGTGTTTCATTCCTGACCCATCCCTAAGGGGGGCTAACGCATTTAGTGGTTAACACACTTGCTGGTTCACATGAAATCTTTACTAAGTCTCTGAATATTTCAGTACAGGATGTAAAAGCGCTTGCAGTGGCACGTTTACATCTGGACTCCCTGAAAAGCCTGCAGTGATGTTTCGAAACGCCCTTTTCTTTATACATTCAGTGCTTCCCTCACTGCGAAGATGGAGGCTGCGATGGCAGCTACAGCCGTCACCTCAAAGAGTTATGAAATACCTGCATCTTTCTAAGGAAGTGGGTAGCTTTCACTTCTCTCCGCTGGGGTATTTCTGTTGTTCCTCATGATGAAACGTGCCTCGTCCAGCAGGCTGGGCAGCTCACTGATGGAGTGATGGCTGCTGAGATTCCCTGACAGTTCCTCATAAATATCAGACTGAATATAATAGCCATTATCTACCTGCAGCAGCTTGCCATCTGACATTTCATCCATGTGAAGGATGTTGCCTGTGGGTTTGTGTGTGTGTGTGTGTGTATATGTGTGTGTGCGCATATACGTGTGCACATTTTAATGCTGTATTTGGTAGAAAATGGCAATATCAAGTATAGTGTAAGATACCATTCAAGACAGTAGATTTTAAATACTTTTTCATCTTATCTCATTCTCATAGATGTCCCTATCATACATGCCTGAGCATAGAAATTACATTTTGTTGTTTATAGATTGTAGGCTGCTTAACAGTTTGACGTCATCTGTCTTTGGTGATTTGATTATCACTAAAAATAGCAGTTGAACTGGAGGATGCATGTATATTAAATTTGCTTTAAAAATGAAGAGTTTATATTATGATGTCATAGAGGAACCACTGGTTCCCTAAAGAACCTTTCAGCAGATGTTTCTTAAAAAACAAACATTATTGTAAGTAAAGAACCTTTTTTTTTAAGTTTAAAGAAGCTCCACATAATCACATGTCTAAGCCAAGAACCATTTAGGAAGTGGACATGAATCAGAAATTCTAATGCATTTTCCAGTGAAATACTTTCTCCAAAAAGCATGTTTTAAAAAGATTTGTGAGAGCGAAAAACCAATGAATGTCTAAATGTCTAAAGAACCTTCACATAATGTAAATTCCCAGAGTCTTTACAGTATGTGGGGGTTCTTTACACTCACATGCACTCTGATTTACAAAAATAGTTCTCATACATTGAAAACCAAACCAAAAGTTGTTCTGTTATGTTACCATGCAAGGAACAAAGAAAGTGCATGATAATTCTGAGTAGAGCACTGTATCAGGAAGATTTTCTGAGCTAGCAGAGCGTTTCGCTCTAAGACAAGCAGGGGGGTGGTGGGAGGGGGAGGTGAAACACAATATTATTTTTTCTCCACCTGCTGGTTCACAGTGATGTCATGTAAACTCAGAAGACATTTTTGAGACACTAGCAGTGCTCTTTACACTCTCAGAAAAAAAGGTACTAAACTGTCACTGGGGTGGTACCCTCAAGGGTACATCTCAGTACCTTTAGTCAGGGAACATAATTGTACCATAATCCACTGAAATTATATTTTCTAAGTATTGAGTCCATACACCCCGTCTCATCTCCAGGCCTTTTATTTTATTGTTCTGTGTTAAATCATTAGGTTATGAAAAGTTACAAATCTGTACCTTTCCACTGGGAAAAACCTATTTTAAGGTTCACAATTAGACCTTAAAAGCACTGCTGTACCTTTGAGGGTACATTTATATTGTTTGTACCTTAAG